CTCCGAACCAGGAGGCTGGATGGAGCAAGAGCTCACATCCCATTGGACTCAGGAGACAAAAAGGCTGAGGGGCTGCAGTTGGGAAAGACCAAATGACTTTTTTTATAAAAATATGTTTTTATTAATTTTGAGAGAGAGAGGAAGGGAGAGGGATAGAGAGATAGAAACACTGATGAGAGAGAAACATCATCATCAACAGGCTGCCTCCTACACGCTGCCTTCTGAGGATGGAGCCCACAACCCGGGCATGTGCCCTGACCCGGGAATTGAACAGCAAAAACCTGAAAGCACAGAAATCTAAGTGTTTATAATTATTAGTTCACTGAATTCAAAAGCAAGACAACAAAGATGAAATTTAAAAGAAGAAAAAGGAGGAGGAGGAGGAGGAGGAGGAGAAGAAGAGGCGATATTAGCTCAACTTGGCAAAAACCAAAAAGGATGACAAAATGGGCCACTGGGTTACTTAAACGTTCCGATTCCCCAGCCTGGCGGCTGGTTCTGGTTAGCGATCCCAAGTTTGTGGTGGAAGCTCCATCGTCCCAGGAATGCTGGTCAGAAGGGCTTTCACAGTGACCCACACAGCAATGAGGCAGATGTCCAAAGGGCCGGGATGGGGAGCTGGCGGGCTGTGAAAATGCAAACTACAAAGCCCAGCTCATCGGGAGCACCGGCCGGATTAGTCAGCACCCGCAGACGCCGCAGGGAAAAGCAACCTGGCCATTTTCGAGCAGCCCGGCCAGCAGGGTGACGTGGAATCGGCCTCCTGTTCTGAGGACTGGGCCTTGCACTTGACTAGGGGTCTGAGTTTTTATTTCCCAACAGCTGCTGCAAATCCGTGGGCTCGGGCCAAAGCTAACACAGATGCAGGATTAATCTACCTTGGCAAGGTCTGCCGGAGCCTTCGCAGGCGAACTCCACTCCTGCCCTTCCACAGCGCTGACCACAGGCAACACCCCCTTCCTCACCAAGCACGACCAAAGCCCACCTGGAAGGGAGAAACTTGCCTCGTCCCGCCCTCCAATGTCAAGGCAGTATCTACACTAGCAGTGGCACGGGCGGCCTGGGTCTAACTTCGGCCATTTGCTAGTTGATGACCTCGGACAAGCTACCTAATTTCTCTCTCGGTTTTCTCATCTGTAAAATGGGACAACAGTGCCCACATTTCACTGGACCATTGTGAAGATCAGATGTGTGACAGAAAGTGCTTAGGACAGGGCCTGGCATAGGTTAGGTATCGCATTATTAAAGTTAGCTGCTATTCTTAATGCCAATCGTTGTAGTTATCCCAGAACCATTCTAAATGCTCCGGCAGGACTTTGTCTTCCTACCCTCAGAGTTAAGACCACATCTTGCTTCCGAGGCATGATTCCCACTGTGTGATTTGACCTGCAACTGAAGTTTTCAGAGGCTGGTACAGCTGTTGGCCAACTCCAGGGCTTGGCCCACATTCAATAAATGATGCGTGAACAAATGGAGGAAGGAAGGAATGAAATAAATGGAGGAAGGGAGAAAGGAAACACTGTGAACGGATCAGCCAGATGGGAGGCCTAGCTCGCAATCAAGTTCAGCTGTTTAAAGGGCGCGCTCATGACCAAGACGCTTCCTAATTCCTTGGGATACCTGGGTGCCCCGAGGGCTCCTTCAACTGCAGGATAAATTATCCAAAACAAGTGCCGGTGGAATGAGAGCTCTCCTCCCTTCATCTGACAGCACCTTTGACCCCTGCGTCCTCTTCACCTTCCTGTCTCTCCTTTGCCTGGAGCCAACACAGAGAACCTGCCAGCATGTGAGACCAAAGGAAAGATGTGGTGGGCCGGCCGGGCCAGTCTGAGCCATCACTAGCTTACGAGAAATCAAAGCCCTGCTAGGGGACTTAGAGTTATGAAGCTGGTTAAACCATCGATTTCCCCTTCACTATAGCTGGTTCAGAAAGAAGACCTATGCCCCGAGGGTCACGGGAGTGTAAGGGTTAGAAAATAACGGGTCCGCTCTGCTTCCTGCACACCACAGCACCAGGCGTGAAACACACCACACGCCCTCCGTCAGAGTCCAGCTCTGCTGCAGGCTCTAGTAAGAGAAAAAGCCTGGGTAGAAGGGACATTAAAAATGTATTGTTCATGTCTCTCAGCCTCCGAACAGTAAGCTTTCTGACCGATTTATAGCTGACCTCACTGGGCTACGAAATCCACCAGAGCTTTATTCGGTGTGATGTACCTAAACAGTAGGCAGGGCGTTGCCGGGGAGACAAGCGGGGAGAGATACGGTGCCTGCCTTCAGGAGCCCTACAGATTCGAAGTGGAAAATGCTTAAAATAGTAAATCTGATGTTTTATATATTTTGCCACATTAATAAAAAGTGGAGCTTTAAAATAGTAAATCTGATGTTTTATATATTTTACCACATTAATAAAAAGTGGAGATACGCCCTGGCCAGTTTGGCTCAGTGGAAAGATCATTGACCTGTGGACCAAAGGGTCCCGGGTTCGATTCCGGTCAAGGGCACATACCTTGGTTGCAGGCTCCTCCCAAGACTGGGCCCTGGTCAGGGCTCGTGCAGGAGGCAACCAATTGATGTGTTTCTCTCACATCCATGTTTCTCTCTGTCTTTCCCTCTCTCTTCTATTCTCCCTAAAAATCAATGGAAAAATATCCTTGGGTGAGGATTAACCAAAAAGGAAAAAGAAAAGAGAAAAAGAAAAGTGGTGATACAAGTTTACATGTACAGGCAGATCGTGGCAACTACCAGGAGAGATGAGCAAAAAGGGCGACAAGAGCCCAGGAGGTCACAGTTGGATTCCAGGTCAGGGCACATGCCGGGGTTGTGGTCTCGAACCCCAGCAGGGGGCGTGCAAGAGGTAGCCCATCAGTGATTCTCATCATTGATGTTTCATCTCTCCCTCTCCCTTTCTCTCTGAAATCAATAAAAAAACAGATATATATTTTAAAAGGGCAACAAGGAAGACTGGCTCCGTCCCAGTTGAGCGAACACGTCAGGAATGTTAAATCAAACACATAAAGGAAACACACAACGTTTCAAACATCCACCAGTAACCGCTTTCATTCCAGATAGGGACAGCCACAGAACCAACAGCTCACAGCTGCGTTTGGTCCTTGTTAAATCTCTCCTTTTGTTGGTCAGAGAGCAGTATGGTGTAGGG